CGCGGGTACGTATACTAGTGAAGAACAATAATAAAGAAGAAGACAATTGAGTTAATATTTATTTTTTCCAAGTTTATTTTAACACATGACCAATTTTTATTGGTCAGTGCTGTCTAAAAGCTGCACCCACGCGCTTAACATAGGTGAAATCACGGACTCAGCCACGTAGGCCGAAAAGTGGTAAACAATTAACTAAAAAATAAGTTCAGGGGGGTAATAGGACCTTAGTAAAGGTTAGGTGTGTCTCAGGGATTTTGGGCATAGGCTGGGGGGGTACTTATGCATTTTCCCTTTTTAAAAATATAAAAGTAACATATTTAGATATTGCATAAAAAATATATTTTTTTATTCCAATTTATGTGACGTTTTTCGCTTCTTAAGATACAAACTATGTGAAATTTTTATAAATATTTTACTATGTATTTTTCATCATATTCACGTGAGCAGAATTACAACTTTAATATGTGAAAAACGCCACATATTTATCCATAGTTAATTCTAGCTTCATTTACATGTAAGGAAATGAATTTAACCGTTAGTTTCTATCAAGAAAAAAGATGGAAGGGTGAACCTGGCCATTTTTAGGATAGTTAAGGGATGTTTTTTGCTCATTGTGATAGTAAAAGGATGTTGTTTAATTTAGAGTATATTTGAGGGATATTTTTTGCCAAATACTCTAATATGAAGCTTTAAAGGTTCAACAAATCAAGAAAAGAGACACATAACATTGAAAACTCCACATAAGGCCGTAATCTTTTTGCTCAAGCATTTTACAAAGCAACATATTTTACTATAACCTACATAATGTGAAAATAAGTATAGTAAGCCTTTTAATAAAGTTTCTCTAGGATAAATTCTCTTGTAGGGAGAATCTCCATGATAATTCACCTTTATAAGATCCAACTTTAAGCAAGTTTTTGGAGCTCGAAGATTAATTCTCTAGGATTGTCTATTTCACATACTTTCAACCATCAGTAATGAAAAAGTTAGACTTCAGCATGTCAAACAAATCATTTTCATTTTCTTGGAAGAAAGAAATTTAAGAAGCCTCAAGAAAAAATCATGAGAATCATAAAATTGAACTTGATAGTAACGCATCACTGAGAAAATTCAGTAAAAATAATTATCTCAAATAGTGGTGTTTATCGTCTTTCTATTATTCCATGTGTTGCTTCTCTTTTAATTTCTTCTTTCTCTTAGTTCACCAAAGGAACAAAATACGTTGGATTAGCTATTTCTAGTGGATTTCCTAAAGCAAGTAAGATGGGGAGAGATCCAGAGAAACTTACAATGAAGTTATAATAAATTATTAAGCCCATAAAATGCACAAACTTCAATGGTAAAGGACACTATGGCTTGGGGTAACATAGAATTATAGAAGGAGGCTAAGTGTCGATGAGACTTCTTTGCGAAAACAATTTTCGGAGGATAAATTTATCAAAGAATTCTTAAATACATGAGCTATAAGACTTGTCAAAGCGTAAAAAAAGGTTAGACCATCGGTGGCCCTTTAAAGTTGGCACCAAATTTCACTTAGACATCTTAATTAAGTGATGTTCATTTTAGACACCTCATGTAGGATTTCGTTGTGTTGTTTTGACACTTTTTAACAATCAGCCAAAATATATAATGTGTGTGTTATACTCGCGAATGACATGTAAAGTAACGAATTAAGTGACGACATTTGTCATTCGTATTCAAAATAATTATTAACTAATGAATTTTGAATAAAGATAAAAAATGACCATTAAGTCAATGACATAATGGCATTTTTTTCCAAATAATTTTCAAAAAAAGAGGTTTGACTAATTGAAAAAAATGCAGAAGCAGCCCACCCCCACCCCGCCACCCCTGCTTGATCGTCATCTCCCAAAAAGTGTTAAGATTTGGAAGAGGACAGTCATTTCTCTGCTCTCTTTTTTTGTTTTATTTTTTATTTTTTAAATTCTTTACTTAACAATAATTTGTGAGTTAAATATAATTTTCAATCACCATTTACTTTATTTCTTCAGATCTGAAAAATATTTTCACCCCTTTGTTCACCAGAAAAATGGTGATCCACCATCGCCACTATTCTCTTTCTCTCTCCCTCCTTTTATTCTACTAAATCGTATTTTATCTAAAATTAAAATTATCAAATTTTTTAATATTTAAATCTTGAAATGGGTCTGTTCCTAAATTTCTAATGGATTTGAATAAAAAAGTCAAACCTCCATTGAAGGAGTTTAAGCTTGAAAAGTGGTGGGAGGTGGTGACTTGAGAAATGAAGAAGAAGAGAAAATAATAATAAAAAAAGAGAGGCTAAATCTAGACTTTCACGCGCCATTGTTGAGTGTATCACACTCACTTTGACATGTCATCAAAAAGTGTTGAAATGACATAGTGAAACCCTACATGAGGTGTCTGAAATGAATATTGTTCAGTTAATGTGCCTAAGTGAAACTTGGTCCCAATTTTAGGGGGCCACTGATGGGTTTGGCCCGTAAAAAAAAGTCTAATCCATCGATAACCCCTTAAAGTTAGTACTATATTTAAACACCTAACGTAAGGTACCGCTGGGCCATTTTAACACTTTTTGCACAGCTGGCATTCGCTTGCTTTTCACTCATCCAAGGTGCGTAAACATATTTTTTTTCATCTAATATGGCGTCCAACTAAGCTTTTAACGGTAATATTACTCCATTTCATTTATTTATAACCTTTCTTCTTCAATTGTACCCCAAGCTAAGTAAGAACAAAATTTCTCCCTTCTCCAATTTCTCTCTTCTTCATCCATCTTTTCTTTAATTCTTTCATGTCGAGCTTCTCCAATTTTTCCATGGTATCTATGGATGAAGGTTGATATTGTAGATTTGGTAATGAAGCATTATTAAAGACTTCGTGGACCCAATTAAATCCAGGGCATAGATTATTTACTTGTAGAATTTTCAAGGTAAAATTCTTTCTTTATTTTCTATAAGTCAATTAGATGATTAATTGTTGGCATCTAATTTTTTTTTATTGGTTTTATAGAAAATGGGTGGCTGTGACTATTTTCATTGGTATGAAGATTGACACCCTCCTCAAGCAAACAGGATGATGTGGGGTTTGTTGAAGAAAGTCAAGGCTTTAGATGAAAATATAAATCGAGCAAGAAATATATTTATTGTTGGTGTCATTGCTACTGGGTTTGGTGATGTTTGGAATATGGACATTGAAGCCTAATTGCCAGTGTTCTTGAGGTCTAGTAGTATTTACCATTAGTGTTCGGCCTAGTAATATGTTGATGTTGTTGTTGCTGTAAATTTTTGATGTAAATGTGCATTTTGGATGAAATGAAATTCTATGTTATTATAGGCAGTAAAGTTGTTGTTTTGGCTACATACAAGTCACAAATTCACTCTCACAATGTAATATCAAAAGCAAATTCATCACAATTTGTCCTAAGCTCTGAATCTCTGAACATGTATCATTTTCACGGATCCAACATATTATAAATGTCCATTTTATTCCGAGATCATTAATCATGACTTTCAAGTTTATGAATGACGTTTTCACTAGTGGGTTCATTCAAATTCTCTGAGATTTCATCCCTGAATAAATTTTGCGGTATCGAAACATTCTTTAAATTAATAATTTTAATTTATCGATTAAATAATACTTCTACTAAATAATAATATTTCATGATCTCACCTATATTAATTTAATGAGATTTTACTGTACATCCCAATTACGAACCAAACATTAATCTATACAGCCAAAATAAACACTATAATTCGCATGTGGGTATTGATTAGTGATCGGACATAAAAATCGAGAATTTTTTGTTTGAAATTTCAATATATATATATATTTGATTTTATTTGCTTGTGGGATTTATATTTTCATGACATAAAAAAAAATTTGTTATTTCTATTTTTTCTTTAATGATAAATTTAATTGAGTGATTTTATTGATACAAAAATCTAACTTGGGTGATTTTATTGATACAAAAATCTAACTTGAGTGTTTTTATTGATATAGAATAAAATTCAATAACCTTAGTAGATAATAAATAAATGTGAGAATACTGTCACTAGAACGAACCACACAAATAGATGTGATCTATGCATAGTCATTTCAGGTCTACACAATTTGAAGATAGTTGTTATAAAATTAATACACTATAACCTAATTCTGAAAATTGAGATCTCAACCATATGAAACAAGAAATAGGAAATTGGAGGTTTACATATCTTCCTTGTATAAAAAAAAGTCATTAATCAAGTAAATTGATGATTTCTGAGTTTCTTTTTCTTTTTGTTGGAGGGAGGGGTTTGTGGCCTTTGATATTGAATGAAATAATGTGTAAATTAAAAATAAGGTGGTGAGGTAGGGGAAGATTACATAGCAGTCAACAAAATGAGAATTTAAGAAACATTAGTCTATCAATTCATAAACAATGGATGCATTAAAAGAAAGTTGTGTCTGACATAATTGAAAAATAAAAAGAGTAAGTTGCTTAAGTAGTAATGAATCCATTCTCTATCATCCATGATGGAGAATGAATCTACTTGCTAGTTTACTACAATCCATACATATTATATATAATATCAAATTACAGAGAAATGAAGATGACCTGAGTCCTAACCATGGTTGACACTCTTGTTGAAGAAGTACCCAAGAGACCCCAAAATATCTCCCTAGGGTAACCAACTTCACATGCATTGGAACTCCATCACCATTTAATGGAGTGGACTTCCTTATGATAAAAACATTTACCAAACAAAATCAATAGTATCCCTCCTATGTTTAAAGTAAAAGGGGGTTAAAATTACCCAATTCTAGCCCCCACCCCACACTTTTTACAACATTAAAAGAAAAACATCAACAGTTAGTTCAGGTAATCCCTCTTATCCTCAAGAGAGATTACTGGCTTGTTAGATACAGAGAAAATTTAAAAAAAGATTTTCAAAAGGTAAATTGATCCTAGCTAGTCTAAGTTGTAAAATCCTAAGACTAGTTAATAGTTAGAAGTAACAAAAACTTGGGACATCATCCTCATGCCCATGATTTCACAAAACTTTTATAACATCTACAAGTTATATGTAAAGCTTAAGTTGGAGGGACTAGCCATCACATTAAGGTGAAGTTGAAATTTACATCAACTCTTTTCTTTCAAAAACTAAAACTAACTTGGGACATTTTAGTTGAGCCCTTGAGGGGCAAAATCTTCTTTAGCCTTTCCAATTAGGCTAAGTTTTTAGAGAGAAAAAAAAATATGATGATCAACTAAGCTGTTTTGATAGCTTGAGATGATAATGATGATGCATATGCAATGCTTTGTTTCTCTTGAAGGAGCCTTTCCTTACAAGAGAAGAAATGGAAATGTGGAGATTGATTAAATTTTACTCCACACCCTATGTGGAGAAGCCCTACGCGGGCTTCCTTCCATTAATTGAGAAAGAGAAAGATGCAAGAGAACCATGGTTAGGCCAAAGATCCTTCACGGAGGGAGGCATTTTATAGATCAATGTTGTATCGATCTCTCTTGACAATTATACCATCTCTCTTAATGATGAGGAATTGGTGCACGCAGAGTCATTGTCACGCCTGTGGCACAGCAAAACAAACTGTCAAAGATATTAGTACCTACTCTCCTTAATTCCCATCATCGGTTATAATATAGATTGATTAATTAATACACAAACCTGAATGCAGGGCAGGTGAGGGAGCTAGGGAAATTGGGGTGCCATAGTGCTGTGTTGGGTAACCAGGGCCAGCAGCAGCAGCAGAATAGGGGAAGAGATGGTGTGGGTACTGAACACCATAGCCCTGGCTGGGTGTGTAGCAGCCATTGCCATTTCCTTCACCAAAATTCATGTATGGGTAAAATGCAGCAGCTGCACTTGATAACACACCACTAGCAGTAGCTGCACTCCCATACACTCCATATTGACTATTTCCTCCCCCATACACACTATAGTAACCCTGCACAAATTCAAACAATATGCATTTAGTTTTGCTTTCAAATCTGCAAAATCTTTCACCTTAATTAAATCCACTGAAACTCAATTTTTAAACTCATTTCTCATTGGATCAATGTGTGTAATACAACCATCTCCCAAGCTATTATGCCTTCTATAAAAATAAAAAATTAAAAATTAAAAAAACGAAAAACTCGTGCTTAAGGTGAAGATATTGTTTGTACCGTATGAAAGGTTATAGAAAGGAACAATTAGTTGCTACTATTGTTGAATTAGTGAATCTTTATAAAATTATGTGTATTTAAAAATTTGTAGCCATAAACATTTATCTATAAAAAAAAACACGGAGATATGTGATTTATCCATGTTGCATCTTAGTGATATTCTGATATGTTGTTTATGGACTATGGTTTGCTCACTAGGTTAGATTGTATAAGAATTCAGAAATTTTGATAGTTTTCACAACTTGTGAAGTTGTGAATTTTCATGTTTGTGAGAAACAATACAAGATTTTCAAAATTGCTAGCTTAAGATTACAAAATTTAAAAATATGTCAATATTTCTTCCGTTCATTTTTTAATTACCTATCACATTAGGAATTGACACAACAATTAAAAAATAAAAATTGACATGACTATTTTACCATACTATCTCTATTATTTAATGTTTAATATTAGATCATGAAAAATGATATTAAGAGTAAGTAATTAATGATAAGGATAAAATATGATTATTTTTTTTACCTTATCTTGATATGTTAAAAATGACAACAAAAGAAAAAATATATTTTTGAAATAATGATCAAGTAAAAAAATAAAAATAAAATAATAAATAAATAAATATATATATATATATATATATATTATTTTATTTTTTT